GGGGGAGGGGGATGGGGATGGGGAAAGCATGAATCTTGTACCGTGTCATAACATGATCAGTTACTTCATACTTTTATTTCAATCAAGTTACTCTACTCAACTTGGGGTCTCTTAGTTTATACTTTTATTTCGAACATGTTACTCTACTCAACTTCATAAGCTTGACAAACAGGAAAATGATACAAATTTTGACATGACGTTAAATAAATTTGACTTTAGAACTATTAACATTTTCATTTGTCAAGCTTACACACTTGATGGGTGATTTGGCGGAAATAAAATACAAGTTTAATTATTCAATTAAGGTAAAATGGGAATGGGTTTGGCTACCCCATAACTTTTTTTCTTAAGAAATTAAAAGAGTCCAAATCTAAATCTAAATATAACAGCTAATTTTACTTAACCAATTTAAACACAATATTTATTACACGGAATTTCATAGAAAAAATACGTTGCACTTAGTGGTGACAAACGGGTCGAGAGGCTCGTCGGCTTGGCCACTCGACACGTGAAAAGTCAGCTTGTGGGCGGCTCGAGCTCGTCAAATGACGAGCCCGAGCCAAGCGGGCTGACTCGCCCTCGTGGGGAGTCAACGAGAGCCGAGCTCATGGCGAATGGTTAATTTATTTTTTTTAAAAAAGGTTTATCTTGAAAAAAAAAAATTGACGAGCTTGCGAGCCGAAGCTCGACTCGACCCACGAGCCATGAACTCACAGGCAGAGCTAAGCTCGGCCCACAAGTAACGAGTAACGAGCCGAGTTTCTAACGAGCAAGAGCCGAGCTCGTGTGCATAAGCCGGTTCGACCCATTACGATCTCTAATTGCACTATTAGGAGAAATAATAAAAGTTCTTTTAAGACTAAAGATTAATAATTGAAATGGTAGTCGACTAAAGATATAATAAAGCTCTTTTAGAATTAATGAATGGTAGTTGACTTTGGGAATTAAAGGTGAATTTTATATTAAACACAATAATTGAAATATTTAATTAAAATATTGAACAAAATTAGATGCGATACAAAATTTAAATGAATGCTCGATCAAAATAGGATGTGTGTTGAGATCCAGATATAGCTCAAATGGTACGAATGAAGACTAATCAGGTCATTGCTAACGTCATTTTAGATGGCAGAAATTCCAATGGGGTTGGTAAGGACGGCCCTCCCCATGCCTCGCCTAGTTGGGAATTTTCGAGATTCAAGATGGACGGTGTGGGGGTAGCGATGGTGCGATGCCGAGCCAAGAAGGGGATTAAAAGAATTATATTTACTCTCCTTTCACTTATCTATTTTTAAATGCAATTTAAAATTATAAATATAAAATAATAATAATAATAATAATAATAATAATAATAATAATAATAATAATCTAATTATAATGCACTCCCATGACTAATATACTCTAGTTTTTGCTTCTTATATCTCAAAAAAATAAAAAAATTTGATAGAGAATGTATGATTAATAAATAAGTAAAAAATTTGAATTTACGTGTGTTATTATTTTGTTAAAAAAATCATAATAGAAAAAATAGAGAAAAATATATTTTAAAAATAATGAGAGTCAAAGGACTTACTCTTTAAAATTTTAACGACTATGATGATTTCTTGTAAGAAGTGCACCATTTCACCTTCACGAAGTCTGAAAGGACAATTTTCACGATTAATTTTAAAACCATCATCTATTTTCCCATTTATAAAAATTATGTTCTCTTCTCTCTTTACAATATACCATAAATCATATGAAAAAAAGAAAAAAAAAGTTCGTATTTTATTTTTTATTTATTTATTTTACTCTCCTTTAACCAACCATTTGCCCTTAAAAGGCAAATGTCCATTTTCTCCTCTTTAAGGACAGTTTATTAACACCCTACACACTACCCCACCCTACTCCTCCATCTATGAACACTGTCTCTAAACCTCTGAACTTTCTCACTCTTGGGGGCTAATCTTGACATGCATCGCATAAAAATCCATTCTTTATGAGATTTTTCTAATTTCCATTGACAAAAAGAATATTGATTGAGAGCGATTTTTCGATGGCTGATGACAAAAGCTTTGAGTGTGCATCACCGGAACTTCTCTGCAATGAAGAAAC